CCCCCCCCCCCGCAATATTTCTAATCCCTGCTTAGTTGAATCCACAGATATGGAACCCATAAATACGAAGGGCCAACTATGTGTGAGAAAGAATATGTGCACGCTAAGCATGTGTATTTGTGAGTGTGTATCTGTCATGGCTGCTATCCTCTGTTCCATAAACAAATCTCATGATATATTAGTTCAGAGGGGCTTTTTAAAATTAACTTAAGAGATACCCAAGGCGTTAGTTCTAACAGCCACTTTACAGCATAATTCTCAATTTCCAAATGAAATATTTGGCCTTCATGCCAGCTATGAGAAACTGCTTTACATTAAAAAAAAAAACCCACTCTGAAAATAAATCTTAAGAGAGAGGGCTGAATGATTTAAGTCACTTTGCACATTACAAAATGCTTCTGTAATGATTTTGCAGGCCAAGTTTCAGCTAAATGAGAAATAAGAGGGGAGAACTACATGGGATGCAGGCCGGTGCAAATCAACGAGGCATGCACAGTAAATCAATGAATCAGAAGTGTTCACACAGCCCTCCCAGAGCTTACTTTTAGGTTACTCATGAGAGAGGGCCCCTCCTTGCCCCATGGGCTAGAAATCCTCTCAGCAGCCACAGCAGAATAACCATTGGTGCTGAACTGAAGGCACAGGGTATCGTGAAAAAGGCCATTTATAGTTTTTGGATCGATGGAATGTAGCGCCCTCTCACACGAACACACACACCATGCCTTGGCTGTAACTGTCCTGATAATGAACTGAGGGCCCTCGTTTCTGTGCCTTAACTAGGCAAGCTTCCTCAAAGATTCACAGCCAACCCTGTGAAGCGCAAAACGAAGGAGTGGGGAAGGAGATGAAATGAAGAATTAAGATGTGTTACGTATACGTACTGACTCCCCCGAAGGAATGTAATCAGTATGCAATGCAGTCATGTACCAAAACAATACAAATTCAATAAAAGCAAATAAGAGGATTAAAACAAAGCAGTATAAAATGACTTTGGAATTCGGCGCTGGGTCACTGCCCCTTCCCCAGCAGAACTGCTCCTCCAAAGAACCGGAAAGCGGGTGGAGGAAGGGATGCACTTCAGAGCAAGTGCTACATTTGGGTTCTCTTCTCTAAGCAACTCTGGCAAGTCACTGAGCCTGTTTTCCTCCTCTGCAAAATGGGCAGAAGAGGCCCTGCTAATCTCAGTGTTGCTTCACAATCAAAGGTAGCAGAGGAATGTCAAGGCACTCTGTAACGTGTATGTAACTGCATGCGAAATTCTCAAACGGACATGGAGTGGGAGCTGTCAGTGTGTGCCAGGTGCTTTCTGTCCTCTTGCCTGCTACGGAGGGCTGTCCTTCTCTCCCATGAGGCCCTAGAAGTTCTCCAGAAGTTGAACACTTAGGAAGCTGGAAGTTCCCAGCCAATTCTCCATTACTGCACAAAGTACAACAAATCCTAAGCCACCCACGTCTGCCAGAGGAGCCAAGGAGCTTCTCCAGGTCAGTGCGGCTGACCTGCGGCTGCTCCTGCCCCAAGGGCCCAGGAGACACCCTGCCCGCGCCAGCCACTCACCAGCTATCCTCTGCATCTTCATGCGCCTCGCCTGGATGCGGCCCTTGGCCAGGCGCTGCTTGGCGATGATGCAGCGGATGTGGTCAGAGAAGACAAAGGTGGCCTGCAGGATGGGGAAGGGCTTGGAATGGGGGCTGGATGCAGGTTTGTGGATGGTGATGTTCAGGGCACGGCTGTCGTCCTCCACACCAGTCACCTGCATGTCCTGCACAGGGAAGAGGCAAAGACAAAGTGCTCGTCGGGCTTGGGAGGGGAGCAGATGCCTAGGAGTGTGACATTTGTATGTCATCTAGAACATGTGACAGAGTGAAGGAGCACCGACTAGCCCAGGTCCAGTGGGAGAAGACAGTGTGGGAAGCAGAGAGGTTCAAGAAGAGTCAGTGCTGGTTATGGTGTCTGGTAGCCATTTCCATGAGAACTTGGGGTGCTTAGTAAATAAAGGGGTACATCAACATTTTCAAGGGGCCGTTGATAAGGCAATAGGCAAATTAACAATTCTTACTACTGAGAATCCAGAGACGATGAACCAAAATCCCTATCACCATCTGGGATATCTCAGATACAGTCACTCATCTACGTGCTTCTCTTAAGGATCAGGCATTTTTGGCATCCTTTTGTGTCTTTGAGGAACTTCTGGTTCCTCAAGGAAAACAGTAACCCTGAGAGAGGGACACGGAGGGAAGACATTTTACAAAAGCTTTATGTGAAAGGTAGAGAAGAGACTGACTTGTAGCAAGGCTAATAACCAATCTCAGAATGGATTCTGCAGAGAAAATCTGGCTCCCACAAAGGTTTAAGGTGATACGAGATAAAAGCACTAGATAGGAGATGGATACAAAGGTCAGAGACGCTAAAAGAGGCGGGGAAAATGACGGAGAAGGCTCAGCCAGGAGGACGGTTACAGTTCTCTGGACGGCACGGGTTCTCTGGAAACAATGCCTGCATCAGAACGAGGCCCTAAGGACCAGCGGGGGCATTGGGCATTTACGGCAGGCATGCGGTGAGTAGCAACAACTGAAAAATAGTAGCTACTGGAATACCAAAAAAAAAAAAGAAAAAAGATTTATGTGGCTTTTATTGTCTGATGGAAGATACCTATTAATCCCCTGAGGGAGAAAAACACTTTCCTGACACTAAATTCTAAAGGAAATTAATTGTAAGCCTAGACAAATACGAAGTGTAGGTCTCCTAATGGACAATGTCTTGCACAGAAGTCTTTCTTTAAATGAAAGATCCCCCTGCAGTTGCTTCTCTCACTGTCCCCTGTAAAAGGTATCTTTAAATATGAAGGTCCTAAAAAGGAAGACAGTGGGGAAGAGGCTGCATTAGTATCTGCAAATACATGGATCGTTCTCATGGATAGCAGGATACGGACTGCAGGTCGGCAGCAAGGCAGAGGTGGATCAGCCTGGTAAGATCCAGAACCCAGAACTGCATAGCAAGGAAATGGACTGCAAGTCCCAGGCTAGGATATGCTTGCCCAAAGTTCAGGGACCCGGGCTATGGCAGAGGTGTGAGGTGGAAGGACTTCTTTACCCTCCTTGTTCTTTGTTTCATCCACTACCTGGTTGGAACTTGTCACGCATCATTAAAAAATCCCAAGCTCCAACCTAGTGTTTGGCAATGCGGAGCCTTTCTCTGCTGATGAGGGGGTGAGGAGAAAGGCATTTTCATAAATCATTAGAGTAAGTTGGCAGTGTCTGTTCACACTTAAAAGAGGTGCATCCCAATTTCTTGGTTTATTGCTTAGGGAAATGTTGCCCAAGGTATAAGGAAATAAGAACAACTCTACAGCAGCACCATCTGGAAAGATAAAAAGTTGGGAACAGTCAAACAGGGCTCTGGCCAAACATGCTCTGGTACAGTCAGTCATACAGCAGTTGAGAAGAATACTAGAAGGTCGGCAGGTACTGACAAGGCTGGCTCTCCAAGATATTCTATTGAGTGGGGAAAAAAGAAAAGCAAAGAAAAGCAAAGCTTAACGTAGTGCGATACCACAAAAAATGCACATGCATTCTCAAATATGTCCTTGGTATCCAAGAAGGACTGTTCATGACCTTCCAAGGGAATAAAAATCTGCAGATGTCCAAATCCTTTATATAAAATGCCATAGTATTTGCATATAACCTATGCACATACTATCTTAAACTTTAAATAATCTCTTGATTACTTTATAATACCTTTTATTTTATTGAAGTACTGGAGAGGGAGCCCAGGGAGCACTGAGGTAGATCCCCAGCCCTTTTTTATTTAGATATAGGGTACATATCACCAAGTTACCCAGGCTGGCCTCAACATCCTTCTGCCTCAGCCCCTTGAGTAACTGGGATTACAGGTGTGCACTACCTCGCCCAGCACTTATATCGTCTAATACAACAAAAATGTGATGTAAATATTATTTAGAGTATAATGATAAGGCAGAAAGGCCCACATGTTCAGTTCAGACACAGTTTTACTTAACGTATTTTGATCTACAGTTAGTTGACTCTGCAGAAGTGGAACCTGTAGATATGAAGGGCTGAGCATACACAATTTAAAAAACACTACATGTAGTTACATTTCTATACACATCTGGCAGAGAAACAGATAGGGAAGAATCAGCCTGTTAATAGAGGTGTTTCCTGTCTTTCTCTCTCTCTCTCTCTCTCTCCCTCCCTCCCTCCCTCCCTCTCTCTTTCTCTCTGTGACAGGGTCCTGCTATGTAGTTCAGGCTGGCCCTGAACTCACGATGTGGCCCAGGTAGCCCTGAACTTGCAGCCTTGGAGGTTATTTCTTACAGACAAAAGGAAATGTAAGCATTGAGGATTTTGGTGAAAGCAGACCTTTTTCAGTGTTGGGGGCTGAATCGGGGCCTAACACAGCCTAGACAAACTCTCCACCACTGACGTATACATCCAGCCTACCTCTCTTTCTTGAGACAGGGTCTAAGTTGTCCAGGCCAGCCTCAAACTTGCAATCCTCCTACTGCAACCTTCTGAGTACCTGGGATTACAAGCATGTGCCACCATGCCAAGCTAAGGTTAGACTTTTTTCAGTGGCAATTTATTCATATAGTCCCTGTATTATTAGAAATGGAAGAAGAGGGAGAGGAGGGAAAGAGGATGAAAAAAGAATTAAGATGTGTTACGTGTATGGACCACCTTCCTGTGATGAATGGAATCACTGTGCATTTTTACAAACATGTACCGATACAAAAAAAATTTAAAAAAATAGAAAAGGATTGCAAAGATGAGAAGTTGGTGTCTGTGTGTTTGTAGGGCTGACTGAGAAGAGATTCCAGAGATCTTGGCCATCTTACCTGGAGAAGGCCTGCAAACTTGACCACTCCCCAGCCAAGCCGGGACACGTCGGGCTCCACCAGACTCATCTGGTAAATATCGACAGCCAGGAATCGCTGGACCATGCCACCATCCTTGGTGATCACTGTGCACGCGATCAGGTCACTGTTATCTGGGAAAAGGGAAGAAAAGCAGGATGAGCCCAGTCTGGCTAGCCAGCTTTCACAAGGATTTGATAGCTGCCTCTCATTCTGCTGGGAAACAGAGCTCAGGTGCTGGTGCCTGGGCTTGAAGTGTCACATGGAAATGGGTCTGTGTCCCTTTTCAGCCAGTTTTGCTGGAAAGTTTCTTTAGCTCACTGGCCTCAGATTCCTCGTCTGAAAAATGGGAATGATGCACACTCCCTCAGAGCACTATTTGCTAAGACCAATTTAAAGAACAGGAACTATCAGACCAATGTTTACTGATATAAGGTCTTCAAACTGCAGTTTAAAAATGACTACTAGTTGGGGCTGGGAATACAGCTTAGTAATAGAGTGTTTGCCTAGCACACACAAAGCTCTGGGTTTGATCCCCCGCAGATAAATGACAATAATAATGCCAAAAAACGAAGAGCCAGGAGCCCCAGGGATATTTCAGGTCACATGGGCCAATGGCAGTTTGCAGTTGTGACGGTGTTTGTCTAAATTAAGTAATTAAGTGATGACAGGAAACTCTCTGTAACAGCACCATCAACTCCCACTTCAGCGTTTGACAATTCAGAGCCAAGCTCCACGCCACATGGTGTGTGATCCTGGGCCAGCTACTTGGCTCCTCTGAATCCCAATTTTCCTTCTGCGAAATGGGAAGAATGGCCTGTCTTGCAACATTGGGTGTCATACATGAAAACAGGTATGACAAGCATCTACCATGGGGTCTTGGGCATAGAAGGTCCTCAGCATATGCGAGGTCCCTCTTCTTACTTGAGAGTTAACTCTGAATTTGATGGCTCCTTCAGTACCTGCTCTTGATCACTTTGAAGTCACCTGGGTAACAATCATCAACTCTGGTCTACTTTGAGTTCTCTCCAATGTAACTGTCTATCACAAATGCTTCAGAATGTCCCCAAATAGGGGAACAAACTGAGTATGATTTTTCCCCATGAGATGAAAAATTATTACCCACGTAAAAGATTCTGTTTAACAAACTGTCAGTGGGTTACCTGTGGGAGGGAACTGAGAATTGAGGGTGGGAATATGTACGTGAGAAGTTTTAATGGGAAAACTTTCACTTTTGTTTCATGTACTGTTCTGTTGCTTTGAACTATCGTGAAGTAAGAAAGTATTCAAGACACACTTTTGAAACACACATAAAAAACTCCAACTTAAAAGCCACATTTACATGGGGCTGGGGGTAGGGGTGTAGCTCCATGAGCATTAGCTTAGCATGCATAAGGCCCTAGGCTTGATCTCCAGTACTGCAAAACAAGAGAAAACATATTTACAAATACACATAATGACAATAGGAAACATTATAATTTTAAAAGGAAAAAGATAAAAATTTTAATACCATGAGTTTAATATGTTTAGTGCTCGATATGAAAGTGCTTGCCTACTATGTGTAAGGCCCTGGGTTCGAACCCCAGTAATACCCCCACCCCACCCCCAAAAGCCCTGAAAAGAAATGCAAGTACAGGGCTGGGGATTTAGCTCAGGGGTTCCACCCCCTGCCTGGAAAGCGCAAGGACCCGAGTTCGATCCCCAGTACCAAAAAAAACAAAAAGAAATACAAGTACAGAGCAATGTGCCAAAACATTAACAAAAGTCTTTGTTGAGAAGGATGGGTAGGTGGTGTGTGTTTTTCCCCTTTATAGCTCTACTAAGGTACAATTTATAGACCACAAAATTCACTCAAAGTATATTGTGTATTATGTGACTTTTACTATATTTACGTCTGCACGTTACGGTATTAGGTTGTGAAACACATCCATCACCTGAATGAGATCCGTTTGGAGCACTTTAACCAAACGTGTGGCTTAAATTTATTGAAAGAAGAGGAAGGTAACACAGATAGTATAAACTCTCACTTTGATCACACAGAGCAAACTCGGGCTCAGGTGTTCACGAAGCCCTAGCCTCTTCTCACTTAATCTGACCCAAAGGTGAAAGGAGAACGCCTCTCTTTGCGCTGTCTCGCACAGCTATGACCTGCCTGGGATTTGGGCTTTGTGTGTGTGTTTCCAGATCGCCCTCCTGGATCTTACAGGCCTCGTGCTTCCGTTTCTTCTCTCTAGTACGTGACATCTGGCCAGAGACCCAGAGGTAAACACTGGTGGCACATCCGCCTGTGTGGACTTGTGCTTTCTTACTATCCGTGGACAGGACGTTCCCTCCGTTCTCAACAGTCCAGTTTAGGTGCAAAAAACTTTAGTGTTTTATCCTGAAGTTTTAGTCCTCACTGGATGGCTCTCTCTGGATATCTAGCCTTCTGTGTTACCGAAAAGGAAAGCCATCTTATTCATTCTAAGAGACATTTTCTTTGTGGTAGTTATGGTTTATGCTCTTTACGCAGTAAACATTTTCTCAATGAGAATCTTGTCCTTTTGAAAAACAATACAAACAAAGCCACCTTTTCCTTCCCTACTCTCCCTTTCTTTGCCCTCCCTTTCCTCTCCTCGTCCCCCTTGCCCCACTCCAGCAACAAGCCAGCTTGGCTGCCTCCTGGCCTGAAAGTTTGCAAAAGAACTCTTCTGAGGGTCAGACTGGGAAAGCAGACGCAGTCACGTGGGTTGGCAACACTGGGGTTTGTCAGAGACCGTGGGGTTTGTTGGTAAAAGTGGGGTTTGTTGGCAGATAACCTAACTCCCTCACAAAGCTGAGTTGGCTTAAGAGACTTCAGGGGAAAAAAAGCCCTACCACTTCCACCACAAAGAACAAAAAAGGAAGGACAAAACCCCAAAGCGGAACAGCTCTCAGAAATGTCATTGAGACATCAAAGCCCTGTGAGAACTCAGTGAGACTTCATAAGAAAACTAAGACACGGCGTACCCATGAGCAGGAAGGCGCCCAGGGAGGGACCTCTGCTCTTTGTGAGCTGTGGGGGCAGTTCAGGAGAAACAAAGCGGCATCCACCGACTACACAAGAATGCCGCCCTTCGGGGAAACTGAGGAAATGCTGGGTTTGGATAACTTGTTTGTGGCTATCTCAGCTATCACCATGTGGCCTATAGGCTTTCTTGTCTGGAGCCCTGGGGATGGGCTGGTCATGTCTGGGTGGACATAGTGTCCTGGGTGTGTGTGTGTGGGGGGAATGACCCAGAACAGAGTGGGTGAGTGGAACCCGGTTATGCACGCACTCTAAGGCCTACATGTGCGACCATCACACAAGCATATGTGGACTTTGCTTGAAGTCAGAGAGAGCAACGCAGCACAGAGGTACCTGAGGGACAGGGGCATATGGGAGGGACTCAGCAGCAGGTAGCTCTGTCAGGTGTGGGGCAGTCTCAGGATCCTCCTTGCTTGACTGTCAGGAGTGGTCCACGGCCAGGAGAGGCCAGTGCAGGTGACAGGTGGTACAAGGCCTCCTGGTCATCCATCTATTTTCTAGATCTCAGGGCCCTAGATCTCCTGGCTCTCCCCTAACAACTTTTCTTCTAGGGGTACAGCTTAGGACTCTAACAAGAATACTGAATAAAATTATCAGAAGAAAATGCAGAATACCTACATGATCTAAGTAGCAAAAGGAGTGAATGTAAAGGATTCACAGAGGAGGAGATGAGAATAGCCAATAAACACACAAAGAAAGGCACTCAGCCTTGTGAGAAATCAGGAACCAAATCAAAACAAGATACCATCTTCCACCCACAGGGCTGGCAGAAGTAAAAATGTTCGATAACATCAAGTGTTGCTGAGGATGCAGAGAAACTGGCATTCTCAAAAGCTGCTGGTGGAGAATAAATTAACATAGCCATTTTGAAGGGCAAATTAGCATTATTTATTAAAACTGAAAGTTTCACATCCTATGACCTGGCAACTAGTATGTTCCCAAGAAAAATGCTCAGATGTGTGGGCCAAGAGATGTGCACAGGGATGCTGAGAGTAGCATTTGAGTCTGTAAGGAATCAGATGTTTAGCAAACAGGGGAATCCTAAGAAAATATGTTCAGACTCAGACACCGAAGTGTGTGGCCACGACAAGGAATGAATTAGCTCTCCAGATAGTTCAATGAGGCTAAGTTTCAAGAACATACTGCTGAGTGGAAAAGCAAGCTACAAGGGGAATTTTAATTTACATGCAGGGCTTTGAAATTCCAGAGGGAAAACAGGTATGTTATTTGCATGCTTAAAAAGGAATAAAGAAAAAAAAATGAGTCTTTCTACACCCTGGAAAAAAGGGTCTTAGGTCTTTCTGGGGCTCAGCCGGGAAGGGGAAGAGGCCTGGGCCAAGCTGCTGGCCAGTTGGCGGCCTCTGCCTGATCCCAAAGGCTGTGGACAGTCGCAGAGCCAGATGATGGCAAGAGCCTGAGAGGTCTCCAATGGCATTCTTGGTATGCAGCTGTGTTTCCAACACAGCCAGCCTTGGTGGCTCAAGAGCTGCGATGTCCATCCCAACCTCCATGGGCACCTTCCAACCTCTGCCCTGGCCCTGTGCTCACCAGAGATGAGGCAACCACACTGAGAATGAGGCCGAGCCCCCTTTGACAAGCTCAGGGCCCAGAAGGGAGGCTCGGGCTCCCTTTGGCAGGGCTGGACTGGGGCTGGGAAAGCACCACAGGTCAAGTCTCTGTCCTGGGGAGGAAGCAGACCCTCTGGCAGAGCAAGCAGGATGGCAGACACCTCCACTTTCCCTCACACCTCCCAACAGAACTCGGATCTGATCCAGGGAAACCTGTGTGGCCCTCTCCTCCTGGGCACTGACTTTTGTTTTATTTACTGGCAGGCAGAGAGGATATGCCGCCTAACTTCATTTGAAAATATTCAGTGCATCAATCTCTTTGACTAGATAACACATATGTTCCCAGTTTAAAAGGTATGATTTTTTTTTTACAGTAGACAATAAATCTCTCCCATGTCCCTCTCCCCGAGACAACCACTTTGTGGATCTCTTGTTATCCATTTCCGAGTGTTCCTGCAGCCCTCTCTGCGCTCTCTTTTCTTTCACAGATGCCCCACACCCACTGTGTACAGTGCTTAGC